AGTATGGGATGTATCAACTAATTGGATAGAAGAGTGGCTGGATGGAAGAAAGCAGAGGGTTGTTATAAATGGAGTTCAGTCACACTGGATTAATGTCACACATGGGGTACCTCAGGGCTCAATCTTAGGACCTTTGCCCTTTTTGATTTACATCATTGACATAGATGAAGGAATGGTTAATAAATTACTTATATTTGTAGATGATATTAAGGTCTTGGGTGTGGCTAGCTGTGAAGAGGATGCTGTTGATTTACAAAAGGATTTATATCATTTAGTGAGTTGGGCAAATAAATGACAAATGGGTTTTAATTATAATAAATGCAAGATAATGCATGTGAGTTATCATAATTTGAATTATAAGTATAATTTGGAAGGGAATAACCTTAATAGTGTTATGAAAGAAAGCGATCTTGGTGTAATGGTTGACCAGTCTCATAAATATCTGATATAAATTATTTTGATCAATTTTATTTTCAAATCAGATAAGTAACATGAAGTTTTTGTATGTTTTCTGAAGGGTCCAATCAGCATTTTTTCTGCTCGACATCAATGGACAGCTCCCAGAGTTCTTCATATAAAGAAAGACAGTATGAGCAATTATGGGTTTAGTGTTAGAGGAGATGCTCCAGTGATTGTTGCTGGTGTTGACTGCAACAGTCCTGCTGAAGTAGGTTTTGGGTTTAAAATTTTTAGCTTGAAATTTGTTTAATTTTTGTTTTATAAATGAACATTTCTATAAAGTTCTCTCCATAACTTATTAAATTTAGACAAATATTATGGACCAATTGTTACTAAAGGAACTATTTTAATAGTAGAGAAAATGGCATTCTGTGGATTTTTAAGTTTACTAATACTACTACCCAAACAACATCATTGATACAAACATGGTTGTAACAATGCTTATCCTGCAAGACCAAAAAATACTTGTCATTACATATTTTGAGATTTTTTTCTGTATACAAGTGCATAATTTGAAGTAAATCCAGTATTTTGTATTTTGAAATAATAATGGACATAAAAATGAACAAACTTAACAGATTTGCTTTACATTGAAATGTGGACAGCTAAAACTATAACAATAATAGAATTGTCTGAATTATAACATTGTTTTAGTTAACATTTGGAGTTATACTAATGTATGAATTAAGTTACTGTTTTGAGTTACAAAAGTACTTAAGTCAGTATTTAAAATTATAACTTTAGACTGAATAAGTGTTTTGACTTATTAACAATGTTAAAGTTAAATTATTATTTGTAATTACAAAATTATTTGGTTAACTTATTGTTTGAAGGTATAATAGCACTTTGTATTTAGTTCAGTATAATAATAATAAAGGTTAGCTGGTATGTATGTAATTTATTTTTACATTGGTTGTATCATGTTGGTTTATAATAAGTATTTTGTTTATTTTTCTTTTAAGGAAGCTGGTATGATAGAAGGATACTTCATCATTTCTATAGGAGAAAAGGATACAAGATGGTCTCAGCATGAGGAAGTAGTGGAGTTAATTAAGAACACAGGGAATGAGCTCACTGTTAAAGTTATTACACCTTTAAATCAAAACTTCCTTCACCCCAAAACTAATAGTCCTTCTGTAAGTCCAATGTCTACAACTTCTAGTAACTGTGGCATGAGTTCTGATTCCAGTATATACCACACTGTGAGGAGTGTTTCCAGTGCAAAAAGTAAGGATAGTCACAAACGTTTAACATGGGGAAATTTTTTCAGAAGAGGAGGAATGAAACAACAAGATTTATCAATTAGGTCTCAGCAATATAGTGCTACTCGAAACTAAATGAACTTGAAACAAGAATTTTTCTATAGTAAAACACAATATAAACATTAAATATATAGTAGCAGATTGGTGAAAAATATGACATAGTTTCTAGTGTGAGATTATTTGTTTATGTTTGAAAAATTCATTTGTAAAAATTATTGCAACAAAGAAAGGCATATTGAAGCTGGACTTCTGCCCCCTTTAATCTCTTTTTTTTTTTATTTGGTAGCAAGTGTGAAAGTTAAAAGACATTGTAGCATTACTCATCACTAGTGCCATCTGTTAGGTATTTCCACGAAAATATAGAAAGTAGCTTCTGTATGAATTGTAATACCCATGCTTGTATGCTGAATAATAATGTACTGTTTATAAAACTAAAATTTCCCAAATTAGAGAATCATGGTATTCTCCTTGTAAACAAGCTTAACAGTTGTGCATGTTATATAGTTCTGTTAACAGAGAGCACTTGTGTTTCGACTTAGAAAAGTTGTTGGTACTCTAAAAGAAATGTCTTTTACACTTTTAGTAACAAAAATTAGTAGATTTGAAGACAGTGAAGCATGCTATAATATGCACTTTGTATATTGTTTTGTTTCTTAAATTTAAAGAAATTACTGGAGATTTGTAACAAAGTATACATGTATATATATAGTTATATGTTTTTTACTTAAAGATACTTAAGAATGTATATTTCTCAAGAGGCAATTATGAGATATTTGCATTTTCTTCATTTAAAACTTTTTGTAGAATCTGTGATGTGATACTTAAATAGTTGACTTGGTGTCAAGGTTTATCAGTTAGTGTTAATAATATGCTTCAACCCTGTATTTAACTGTAGGTTATTTGTGAGCAGTTAGGGCTCTTTCTCTGCTATTATACAGCATCACCTGAAGTTGAATATGTATTTCTTTTTTTGTATAAAAAAAACTGTTCAGTGGAAATATTAAACAAATGAGTACGGATACATTACAAAGCAATAGAATGAATTCTATAAAAGTTTTTGTCACCTGCTGGTTGTATGTATATTTTAAAAGAAGAATGATAAAAATATTTCAATTCATTGATCTTAATTGTTTCTTTTTTGTTTTTAGTTTTTGAACTGAAAATAGTAAGCATTTTGTTTACATAATTATGAAACTTCTTATTGACAAATACTTTTACAAGAAACTAGGTTCAATGGACATGATTTATGACTATTACTTTTCAAAAAATATTTAGATTTGGTATTTCTGAAATACTTGGGAAGAAAAGAAAATTATTTTGAACCTCATGATTGATTTGTTATTAATGTAATTAAGTAGGACAAATAGGTACCACTTCATTTTCTTACTAGAGGGACATAACAATTTCATATTAAAACTTTATTGAAGTGGTTTAAAACTGATATATTGTGTGTATTTTACTCACCTTTTAGCCATTAAGAATACTGAATGCTATGGTAGATGTTTATTTTACATTGAATCATTAGGTAGTTGTCAAACTATTGAAACAATTAATCTCAGTGTTGCAAGTACACAAAAAGTACAAATATTTCATTTCACTTAGATAACAGAAACATTTTTAAAGCTGGAAGTTCTTAAGAGTTATTTTATTGGATGACATTTTGGTATTTCTTACCAAATTCATAATTATTAACCCTGTTCCATTATTTACAATGACCTAACAAAACTCAGGACATACACACACAGTGAAGTTCCTGTAGACTTCCATCTCTACAGCACAATAAACTCTGTGTGCGTGTATGTGTCTAGATATGAATGTATTTTGTAAATTGAATGTGTTGTTTATTAATATGGTGAAAAACTCATTGGATGAATGAGGATGAAAAAAAAATCAAAATGGTCACAACTAGAGATTGGAAATAATCTCCTTTTTTAAAAATATATATATCATAATGTAGGATAAATTTACTTGGCCATGGACAAGTAATGGTTTTTAAACTAGTGATAAAAGTATTGATAGCAAAAAGAGAAGCATTTTTATGAGGATTTTATAATATGAGATGCTTGAATAAAGCACTATCATTTCTTAACTTTAGGGGTTACTAGTCATTAAAAATTTATATTTGAAAGAAAAGATTTTGCTAAAACTAGAAAATATTTAGGACTTCATAAGTTCATAAAAGCATTTGACTAAAATTTATGTTTGACTAAGAGTTATTTTATGTTCAATATAAGATTTCCTGTTAGATTGAAATGATTTTTTTTGACCCACACTGTTAAACAGTAATTTCTTTTTTGTGGTATAAAGAACTTTGCTTATACTCACAATTGCTGTGTTGTGGCAATATAAAATATGATTTTAACTTTTCAAATATTTTGAATCTCAGAACACAACTACAGTAAACATAAACTTATAAATATCTCAAAAAGAAAAAATGTAAATGCTATACTTTTTTAAACTCTTAAACATTATGAATTTTGTTAGTTTTGTTGCTATAACTGAACTAATTTTGTCAGTGATGTAACTTTCTAAAGAAATTTTTTAAAAAGTTGTACACATTTTTACAATGCAGGTACATCTTGCTGCTATTAAAGAATTTATGTTCATCAGTCTTCCCTGTACAAAACTACTTCATAGGTAGTACTTGAGCAGTGATTTTTGTCATTACATTTGCTTGAACTGATGTGTGTATTTGTAAAATTAGATAATATGTACACTTAGATCATCTCCTGCCATTCTTTATAATAAAACATTATATATTGCATTCTTTGTTATGCCTCATTTTTATGCCTACAGATTATTGAGGTTATCTATACATGTTTATAATAAGACTTTACCATTACAGTATGTTCAAACTTACTTCACCCAGTTTTCAGTCATTCTGAAATAACTAATACAGTTATGGTCTTACTTAAAAGGCATTGTTAATGGACTGCATCTATGTTGAAAATTTTTGGACAACATTTGAAGCTAATAGTGTAGCTCTTCATCGGGTCTATCTGATAAGGTCTTTACTAGCAGCTCCAAACATCATCCAAAAAACGTCCTACACAGATGTAGTCCATTAACAATGCTTTTTTGAGTATACTCTTCTTTGTCTAAAACTTCTCTCAAGCAAGTTATGGTTTTGAAAGTAAAAACTTAAGGTTCAGTTGTAGATAAGCTAAAGTAATTCTTGGTTTTAAAACATTTAAAAATATGTTATTGTTCTGGGAAGGAGAGTTATTAAAAAGACTTGTGTCTCATCTTAAATTTTGTGGGATAATGTCTGAGATTTGAAGGTTTATAAAAATAAAGTTAAGTGTAAAAAACTCAGTAGAGTATTGGGGCATTTAATGGCTAGGCTTGGAAAATTTAATTTGTTTGTAATGAAGCACAAAGCTACACAATGGGCTATCTGTGCTCTATCCACCATGGGTATCGAAACCCGGATTCTAGCGTTGTAAGTCCACAGACATACCGCTGTGCCACTGGAGGCTCAAAATTTAATAAATGCAGACTTTAAGAACAAGTTACAGTTAAAAACAAAAGAACTTCAAGCTATTATTTTAAATTTGTTAATCTTTTACCATAACAATTTCAAGAATAGGTTACAAAATCACCAGCCCTTAGATAATATGTACATTCAAAAGAGAATATTTTTTCTTAAATAAAACTGGTTTATTCTTTCCAAATACAACTTTACGATACACTCAACTTCAACAGTCGCGCTATAACAAAATATAATTCACGTCTCACAAGCTCGACTTCAACAATACGTCTCTCTCTGACTGCAGTTCAATTACTCATTACCTACACACATTGTCCCGTCACGTTGTGACCATCCTATATATACCAGTCTACCCCCAATCTAGTAAATGCTAGGGCATTCACGAAGGAACAGGATATTTCGAGAAAGCAGGTGGTGTGACACTAGTCACGTGACCTCGCTGACGCAACAATATCTTTAATTAGGATGTTAAATTCAGGTATTGGATTTTCTTGAAAAGGTGTGCAGAAAGTACTGTTGTCAGTGTTTTAAAGCTTCAGTTATATATAAATCTTTACATCAAATTACAATGGCTCCACCTTTGTCTTCTGGTCTAACAACAATATCATGTGTTTGTTGCAAATTATTTAAGGCTAATTGTTTATTGTGCAAAATATTCTTAGATTTAGTCTTTGGGTTTAAATCTAATTCCTTGATGTTTGATTGAAGTAATCCAGTGAGGTGAACCCATCAGAAGATGGTGTCCATGAGGAATATCTTGAAGGAAATTTAGAGAAAGGACCACAAATAGGAGTAATTTTAGAATATGTCTGAGTGTTTTTGGAAAAATGAAATTTTTAATCTTAACTTATGAAAAAAAACAACGTATTTTTGGTAGAAACTTTAGTCATATGTTTAGAATGTTCAGCTCCTTGTCAAAAAGTTCCAACTCATTCAGGATTATGACAACTTGGTTGGTTTAATTAACTTTTAAAATATAAGCAGAAGTTGTAGTTGCTGGTGTGATGTTTTCAAGTAGAGGGATAGTTGTATTTCATGTACATCTGAGACTTCCCCTGCAAAATTACAAGATTTACTCTTCAAATTGTTCGGAGAGCAAATGAATTTGAGAAATGAGGATTCAACCATAGAGGTCATTGAAGTTGGACTGTAGGTCTGTAATTCTAGTGTTTTGTATTTATTCTCTGAAGAGTTATTGTGAGAACTCACTTTGTCAGCACCTATTTAAAAAGAATTGGATTTAATATATGGTATCGTTTCAAATCAGTTATTTCATTGTAATGTTATAATTTTTCTATCTTTTAAGGTTTTCAGAAAATTATGATAGTTATGGTTGACTTCACAAAGACAACACCCCAGCAATTGGTTTCATCAGATTTATTTCAATGTGAATTACCAAACTTTTTATTTATCCTACCTGTTTTTTTTCATTATGATGAGGTATGTTAGTATTTTGTATGACCATTTGGTAATAGTTTTATACTTGATGTACCTTCAGTTAAACACTACAATTCAATTTATGGACTTTAATAAAGTGTTCTACTTAAAATGTGATAGTGATGCTGTAATTCCTTCAGCAAACACAGGTATAATGAAGAAATATTTTTATTATAGACTATACGATTACAGAAATAGAAAATTACTTGTACAATAATGTTAATAATAATGACATATACATATATATTTATATATATATATATTGTAACAGCCCTTTATAACTATGGACACATGGCACTAATGTTACACCACATAACAGCTGCCATTTTCAATGTTATCACTTTTTTTAAACAAGTTAATAATTAAAATGAAAATATATTTTGTACACAGCTATATACACACAACACGTTCTGGACACTTTTTTACCATATTACCAAAAATTTGACTTAGGTTATTTTATTCTTACACCAGCTGAGCTAGCAACAAGTTTGTCACAGTTGTATCTATTTCTGTTTCCTGAAAAATAAATTTCTTAACTAATGATTCCAAACAAATTTTGCTTTTCCATTCAGAAAATTTAAATTCTGAGTGGATTTTCTATATGAAAATGTGCTAGATCTTTTATATTTTATTTAAAACATGTGTTTACTTATAAATAGTTTTCATTATGTTACAACATAAAAATGATTTAAAAAATGTAGCATAATATTGTCTCATCAGTAGCTATACTTATTTTTACTATCTATCAGATCACTCTATTCAAGCTATGGAACTGAAAGAGCACTGTATTTAAAAGAGAATACAAATAAATGAACTCCAAAATGGTATAGTTTTAGAGTTTCTACTTGCTTTCACATAATCATGTACAAATTTCATGATAAACTATAATGAAAAATCTTTCATTTGATGTTGTTCTCAACAAAGCAGAAACTTAGACAAATATTTTAGCAATAATTGATCAGGCATAATAGCCTGGGTTAACACCAAACTCTTGTTGAAATAAAACTTAATCATTAATATAGGCAATGTAGCTTCACAATACAGAAGTGTACGTGCCAATAGGAAAACACTTGAACAGAAGCTCTAGGGCAATTATAAACCACACCTTTTGATACTAAACAATTTACAACATTTCAATAAAACTAACCAGCAATCCTTTTTCATTTATATTTGTAGAATACAAATTTCTAAAAGACAATATAATGTAACTTAATCTTTAAAATCTCTAGTAAAGTCATATTTACAAATCTGAAGAGGCGTCACTGATGTATTGATAAAACGTAAAAACTATTTCTTTGCACAAAGCAGATTTTCACTCTTAAATGGAAATGTAGAAATGATCTAAAATTATCAGTACAAATAATTTTAACAAATACATTCATAAATAAATGAGATTTGTTTATCAGCTGATGTAGTCAGGGATTTTTTGTTCAATATTTATAAAACAGCCAGACCTAAAATTTCTATTCAGTAATATTGTGTGATCATGAAAAACTAGTATATCCTCAGTTTCTGAATAAGTGAAGGTTTATGAACACTAAAACTTATTGATGAAGTATCAGCTACAAAGGGTTTCATGTCAATGTATTATCAGTATTACTTCATATTTTTCATAAGAATATTTCATACCAAATACAAGTTTTCTCAAACCCAACAATCACATAAAAGTGATTAAAAAAGATATATATACAAAAAAAGAGATGAGTTTTTATTTAATAGAAATTAAACAATGTTACAAATGAAACAACTGTACAGTGACTTTTGCCCAACCCTCTATATTAACATTTTCCAAACTATTTTTAGGCAAATACAACTAAAAGTTAAAATAAAAAGATGTTTAGTAAGCATTTAACATAAAAAATGAATTAGTCTAAGATACAAAAGTTAATTATGGATTATAATTATATTGCCCTTCATTTCATCTTAAATTACTTCATTCCTAATTTTAACTTCTGTCATTGTGAATAATGCTTAACAAAGGTTCCGCTGTTTATTGTCAAGTCCACAGTTGTTCTGCCCCATAACTACACAATGAATGTTAGAGTATTTTTTTGTTTCACAAAATATTTTGTTTTTTATCAAAACAAAATAGGATATTTTTCAAACTTAATTTAAGCAAAATTTAATAACTGTTAGTATTCTATTGTAATAAGATTTTTTAAAATGAAAATAGGTTATGAACATAACCAATATGTTTGAAACAAGTATACAGTAAGATGCTTAAAAAATAGTCCACAATGACAAAAGCAATCACAAACTTACATTTCCACATAAAGTTTTCACCACCTCCAGTTATTCTTTGTGACCCTTCTCTAAAGTACTAAATTAATCGAAAAAAAATCCACTATTGTGCTCTTTGCTGTAAATAATTATGATTTACAAATTGTCCAGTGATTTAATGAGTCTGGTAATTGGAAGTTTCAGAGCTTAGAAGGACAAGAACCTAGCCTCAAGTTTAACTTATTTTCTTGAATACTTCCCATTGTCATAAATGATTAACCAAGCAAAGTTATTATGCCTCTTGTACAATCAAAATTTCTCAACCAAGATTCTTATTTTGCCATTCTCAGTCTTCCTATTTTTCTTAGTTGTTTTTTTAGGACTGCGTGACTTAGATTTTTTCTACCCTACATATATGTTCTTGTACTAATTTTGTAAATTCTAACCAACTGCTCAATAAGTTCAAGCATGTTAGGTAGTAAAACATGATTAACTTCATAAATATTTGCAACTGAAATCGTCATGCAATAATGGTCCATGCAAACTGTCTGAGCAGTACAGATCATGTAATGAACACTGCTAACAAATTATTTTAAAGTAGGAACAAAATAATAGATATACATCAGAACTCTACTTGGAAGCTTAAATAACAATGCTCATAAAAAACTAAGTCTTTCACTTTCACAGATTACAATAGATAACAAGGGAGAATCAACAGCTAATGTCAAACAAATCAGGTCATTTATCTTCCTCTAATTTCATAGACTGTAAAAAATGCTGGTGGAAAATCAACAGCCTTTGCCACAAAAATTTGGTTATTCATCACTTTTTACTTTCACAGTACCCAAGGCAGATGGAAAATCAACACCTTATATTAAACAAATTTAGTCAAACTTTCATCTTCTACTTTTATAGAATACAAAAGCTTAGGATACTAAATCAAAAGCATGTTAAATAAATTTCCCCACTGGTCATTGTCCACTTTGATAGAGGACAACAAGTGATGACATAAAATAAAAACTTTACATAAAAACATATTTGTTCACTAGCCACATTCTACATTCATAAGCTGTAACAGATGGGGATGGAGAATTTAGAATGTATGTCAAACAAAGTTGGTAACAGACATATACTTCCACAGATTAACAAATGATTATGGAAACAAGTTTATGCAAAGCAAATACTGTCACTTATTTCTGGCTACTTTGATAGACTGTAACAAACTTGATCAGATTTTGCTATCTAATTTCAGGGACTATTTGGGGATGAAAACCCAACAGCTTATGTTACAAAAACATAGTCACTTGTCACTATATATAAACTTTTATAGATTATAACAGATGATTGTGAAAAATCAATAGCCTATGTCACAAAAACTTCATTGCCAATCATATTCTACTTCCATAGGATATAACATGCGAGATTGAAAACACGCAAAAACTTAGTAACTTGTCACTTTCTACTTTTACAGACTGTAACAGATGAGAATGGAAAATCAATAATCTATTTCAAGCAAGTTTGATGCCTTTTAGACTTTAAATGATGGAACATATGAAAATATCTTTCCAAGTTATCCAGTTCTTGAACTATAGTCAATGGGAATGCTTCTTTAAAGATACTTTATTGAAAACTGTCATGGAGCTCTTCTAAAACCACACATCTCTTACAGCCTTGTAACTTGAAAGTGGTAAGTCCAGTTTTTAGATACAAACATTAAATGGTTTGGCACTGTGGCAGCTGCCCATATTAGCAGACTAGTTCATTTCTTATTCCATACCAGCTCAGTTACATTGATGTAGTTTCTGTCTGAAAGAGCCAAAATGAAGCCAACTTTTAATTAAACAAATGTTTCTTTTTTTCTTTAATATATCCATTATAAATCAAACTAACATATAACTTATTTAACTTTAAAGCTATGTTATTTTAGGTTTATCTTAATATACCCAAGCTATTTTCAATCATTCAAAAAAACAAAAACTTAACAAGTTGTATATTTTGAAAACAAATATAATTATTCAGTCCAATCAGTAGTTTTATGTATGGCATATTGAGTTGTCTTTCACTTACCAGTGAACAAGTGATAAATCAAACAATAAACTAGGCTTCATGTTTATTTTTAGTTATACAAAGTTGTCTTTTTTTATTTCTCTTATCCAGGGTTACTGAAGAAGGGCTGAATTCCATGAAGTTGGTATAACTCAGTGACAAGTGAAATGACATATTGGGCTTCATATTTATTTCAAGTGGGTAGTATCTCTTGAGATATGATGTATGCAGGCATACATCCCTTTTAAAGATTTAACCAAGAAATAAAAAATTAGAAAAAACAAAAACAACTTCCTAGTAAGGAGTCATTTTTACTTTATATTGTACTAGGAATACCATCTGTTTTCAATAATACAAAATTGTATAATTTCATCAATTTATCTGTTTATCTATGAGAAATGTGATAATGAAACAGAAGTATAACTTATTGCAAAAGTTTCCTAACTAATATAATATAAATAAAGTAATATACCTCTTCCTGCAATTGATCCTCAGCAGAGGGGTGCTCCGAAATGGGAAAGTGAGTAACGACAGAGTCATTCGACATCAAGCTGTCACTTCGCTCAGCTTTCTTGTGGCGAGGTCTTTCAGACTCTCCACATGAGTCACTAGCCAGGCTGGGGTCTGTTGAAAAACCACTTTCTGAAATAACAACAGGATAAACCAAGATATTTTAAAAGTATTTACTTGATAACTGTTAAAAAATATCATTAACATAAAGAGCAATATGTCATTTTAATATACAGAGAACTAGGTTTGTTCAAAATACTATACAATTTGCACACAACATGCAAGTTATAAATACAATTCATACCACAAGTAACATAATAACTGCATATAAGAATTTAAATATCATACTGACATGTACATACAATAAGTCTGATAACAATTTCTTAGTTTTCTGATTATCAACCTTTAATAATGTAATCATAATTTGTAACTGTAATTTAAACTATTTTGCAAAAATAAACTGATTGAATTTTTCCTAGCATTTGAAAACTGTTTATGTGCTGTTACACTTCAAATGCAAATTATAACACCAGTGATTCAATTTTGCTACTGAGTGTGCACAAATGTGGTTTATTATATTAAGCAATTTTTGTAATGAATTTCTTAATATCTGTAAAATCAGGTAATGGCTTTACATAATTTTTCATAGTTAGGATGAAACAAGGGTGTAGAGTGACTCCATAAGTTGGTGGTGCACTAGAAAATTAATCTGTGGTAACTCAAGAATAAACCTAGCACATAGTCCTAATCACTCATCTCTGGAAAAATTAGATGTTTGTGGGTCTAATATTTGGATGGTGAAATGAAAGTAGCAAGACGTGGTGTTGAAGTATAAGTAAGGTAAAATACTTCATTTAAAATAAAAAAACAAAACAGTAGCTGATGGGATAGTGGCAACTATTACTTTGTGAAATAAATAGAATTAAATAAATGAATAATTATATCTACAAGTAAAGTAAATTTAACTGCAAAATGAATGATGTTAAAATAAAACATGTAGAATAAGTACACAAAAAAGAGTAAAGCAAAAACCAGACTACAACTTGTCAATTAATCTTGGCTCACTCAAACATAAATTGAACTGTATTCCTTATAAGTTGAAATGAATTTGATGTGATAGGAACAAAACTAAATTCACCATATGCATTCTCTCTGTAGCTGACCAAATCAGAAAATAGGTATCAAGGTGAAAAAGTATCTGTTCCATATGACAACCACAAATTCCCCACACAAGGTCAGATAATATACAATGCAACTATTCTATGAAAGAGCAGATAAATTCCTTTCTGGTTAAAGTTACAAAACATAAGAAATCAGGCTGAATTTTGCACACAACCTCAATTGAATTTAGTATGTTACAAAATCAGAACTAAGAAAATAAAAAGTTTTAAATTGGGATATAAGATATATATACCATAGGAGAGTAAGGCATGTAGTATTTGCATACTACAAATCAACATTAGCAAGCTTTAAAAAACAACAAGCAGCATTTTTGAAATAGCTGACTAAATTTAGAAAATGTAAATTAAATTTAAAAAATATAAGTTTGTGATGGGTAAATTTCCAAACTAAAGGCCAATCAAAATGTTTTTAATAAAATCATTTGTATCTAAATTATTCATTAAGTTACAATAAACAGGTATTGAAAGTCCTAAAAATAACAATAAAATTAAAGTCTGTGGTATATGAACATGTGTAGCTTAAATGTAGAACATGCACATGACATTTATCAATCTAAAGACCAATCTTTAAAAGACTTGGATGGCAAGTAGTTAACATTATCACTGAAATGGATAACCTGGCTGGTGAAATGGTGGTTAGATGACATTTTTATTCACTTAAGTGTATATTTGTCTAAGCAAAAGACTGCCAAGCAGTGGTAAAGTTTGATGAGGAACAGTACTATGTTTGTAACTTTCAAAATAATAATTCACAAAATAGTTCCTTTTTGAAGTCTTATAAAGTCTTATGAAGTCAATAAAGGTCATTTGTATAAAATAACAATGTTGTAAATGACAGACATAATTCTACGCATTCAGTCAAATTTGCTCAACTAGTGTCTTAAATGCTGTAAATTATATAGTATAAGGAAATAAGTGATATTACACCTTATTTTTCTCAGTTAAATAGTTTATATTTTTTCATCATAAAAAAATCTTTCCTGATTTCAAGAATTATTATTATGTATAATTATTTTGGATGTTCGTACATAATTTATTTTCCAAAGGCCTATTAACTGAATTCTTGAAATCATCACCTTTGTTCATACTAGCAAATGAAGTTGAATACCTTGATCTTTAATAGCAGTAAGTAACTTGCTAAAATCATTAGCTTTCGTTCATACTAGCAAATGAAGTTGAATACCTTGATCTTTAATAGCAGTAAGTAACTTGCTAAAATCATTAGCTTTCGTTCATACTAGCAAATGAAGCTGAATACCTTGATCTTTAATAGCAGTAAGTAACTTGCTAAAATCATTAGCTTTCGTTCATACTAGCAAATGAAGTTTGTAATACCTTAGATCTTTTAATAGCAGTAAAGTTAACCTTTTACCAAAATCTATTAGTCCTTTGTACTATGCTTAGTGGTAATTTAATTCAAT